AGCATAAGCATTTTGAAATTACTTCATGAAGACCTCTTAAACAACTTTTTGCTTTTGGAGATGCAAATTCTTTTATTAAACATTTCTAAGTTTAGCAATTTATCAACATTTTGGTGATTTTAAGATCAATTTCTATAGAAAATTTTTTAATTTCCAGATCTGGTAATTTTTTATCAATTTTTTTTAAACACTGTAACATTGATAAGTTTCATTAAAATAAAACATTTTAAATTTTCGCTGTTGTATTATGAAGTTCCATTTTGGCCATGTATTATACAATATTTTGAATCTGAAAAATAAACAAGGTATAAAGCATAATTTACGGAACATTTCTTAGCAAATGCAATATAGCTATGTAATTAATTAAAAAATGTCTTTTTAATGTTTTATTGGCAAGAGTTTTTCCCCATGTAATTGTCTCAGAATATGCATAAGTTTTCTCTATAAAATTAGTTTTACACTTCTCCCCTCTGCTTTTTTGTTTTTATTATTATTTTATTTATTTTACCAAAATATTTTTGGCTTTCTCCTGTTACAGAATTGGTAGCGGTCATTTTTCATTTTTCTTTATGAGTTTAGACACTGCAGTTTGGAAAGTTTAGAAGGATTTGAAGACAAGATTTATAGATCAATTTTACAGAATGTTTTCAATGAATTTGTTACTTTTTGGAGGACATCTGAAAGAACAATGAAAACATACTGTTTGATGTTTTACTTCTGATCTAGATCTTCTGTTTTTTACTAGAACCTTTTCCTTAACATGTTTATCTTCCCTTTATTTTCTCTACTTTTCACTAAACACAAGCATGGAAAATACCAAAACTGCTTCTAATCTCATCACATTCAGAAATTATATTATTATTTCATTATAGAAAGGAATTTTTTTATTAATAAAGAAATTGAAAACTAACAATTTAAAGATTCATCTAATATGTTTTAATGCATCATACACAGGGCTGGTGCTAGGCATTTACCCACCTGATACAATCTCTGTGGATCCTAAATTCTGCTTCCAATTCCTGCTCTAAATGCTAAAAGTTTTGCCATTTCCAAATTTTGTAGCTCGGTGTGACACTAAATTCTAAAAATTCTGCCCCACCAGCTCTGTAATCGGCCCTAGTACATATTTCATATTTCTCCTGAATGTTTGTATTACTAAAGAAATAAAATTAGCAGCTTTTTCTATACATTCTAAAATGAAAAGGAAACTGAATATATAAAGAGAAAGGAAATTATTCTTCAAAGATATGCGCAGTTATTATTATGGTAAATTGCCCAGTTGTTTATATTTTCAGCCTTTACTTTAATTTCCCATTTCTATATTCTCATCAGAATGCAAATCTCATAGTTGGTGTTTAAACTGAGGTTTTTGGAGTGATTTTGACTCCACTTGCTTGCTGCGTTAGTTCCTGTCAGCTGTAATAATTTGTAAATATTCGTCATTGCATTTTTGCTGCCAACATTTGAATTTGTTATGACGATAGAGTTGCTGAGCCAGCTTAAATTAAAATTCAATTTTGTAGTCTTTGACAACTAGTCCACATATTTAGTTTGAATTTGACTTTTGTTTAATTACATTACCATGGCTGTAATTGGTTTTGTTAGCATAAGAACATGCCTTTATGTTCTAAGTCCTTTTTAAATAAGAGGCTTATTTAAACTTTTGTCTGACTTTGCACTTATTTTCAGACGTAGCAGTAATTTGCTTCACGTCTGTCGGGGAACATAGAAACTAATGATAACATTAGTTTCCATATTGAAACAAATTTCTAATTTTTAGATGGCATAAATGGGTTTTAAAGAGAGAAAATTTATATAAATTAGCCAAAATGTCCAGAAGGCTTCAAATTAAAGACTCATAAATATTTTCTTGAGTGTTGTTGCTACAAAACATCTATATTTTGTAGCTTTTAATATGTAATTATCCTAATATAATTTAAAAACCAATGTCATAAATTACATGTATTTTAAACTGTGAATTTTATTAGATTGTATTTTGATAGGGCTTTTTAACAAAAATTGTTAAAAATAAATAGAATTTAATAGTGGCTATCTAAATCCATAATGACTAAGGTTATCTAACTACCTAATTTAATTATTTGTAATTAACTGCTTACCCTTAAAAATTATCCCTGCATATTAAAGCAAGTTATTGCCTTTCATTAATCCTTACTGTGGTCACAAGATAAAACCCAAAAATGTAAAAATACTTACAAGAATATGCACTGCATTTAGTGAGAATTAAAATAAGGTAACCAAAAACGTTCTTGCCATTTTGGATAGTCAGCAAGAAAACATCATAAAACAAATAATAATCATTGCTAATCCTCAAAGTAATCACCATGGTCATCCAGTGCCTTTTGCCAATGAGTAGCTAGCTGTGTGATGCCATTGCTTATTTGCTAAAATTATTGCTACATCTGAAAATAAGTGCAAAGTCAGAGAAAGGTTTAAATAAGCCTCTTATTTAAGCGGTAAAACTCGAGAGTCTTGGATGCAAAGAAGTCCATGAGAGCCTTTTTAAGGTCTGGAGGGTTATTATAGGATGTCCCACGAAAATGGTTGTTCAGAGAATGGAAAAGGCGGCAGTCTGTTGGCATGAGGTCTGGGGAGTATGTTAGGTAGGGTAGTGTCTCCCAGCCCAGTGGCTGGATGATGTCCCTGGCCTACCAGGCCACTTGTGGCCTCGAATTATCATGGAGGAGGGGTACACCCTTAGGATTGACCAATGTGGCTCTTTATGCATCAGTGCCTGATGCAGATGTTCTAACTACTGTGAGTACAGGCATGCCATGATGGTTGGGCCTTCTGGCAGGAGCTCATAGCACACCACTTGGCAACTAGTCCACCAGATACAAAGCATGATCTTGTGTGAGTAGAGAGAAGGTCTCGCATAGAGTGGTACAGGGTCCCTTGGTGACAGCCAATGTCTGGAATGCCTGGGTGTGTCATACTAAACCCACTTGTCATTGCTGGTGAGTACTTGATCAAATAGGGATGAATTAGAGTGCCGAGTAAGCAGTGACACGCTGTTTCTTGTTTGCATCGGATATTGAGTGGGGTATCCACTTGCTCGGTTTGTATGCCTTTTCTGTGCAGTGCAAATGAAGTATGATTGTTTCATCAGATACCTGGAAGTGTGCAGCAAGCTCACCACATGTTTGGCTACTGTTACTCTTTACGGCTGCTCTCAGAACCTCATCGTTCAGCGTTTGTGGCCGACCGCTGCGTGGTGCATCACTAAGAGACATATTCCCTGACCTGAACTTCTGGAATCATTTGCCTAGCGGTTTGTTCATTAACGACATCATCCCTAAAGGCCTGGCAAATTCGGCGACTTAATTCTGCTGCTGACAGGCCCACTTCAAAATCATACAGCAAACAACTCTGAATGAGTATCTTTGACTTGTCCATTTCAATCAATCGCTGTGTGAGTTATGCTTGAAGTACCGATGCAGTATGCTTTTCTACTCTTGGTCAGTGTGTGGACTCCCATCCTAACCACTTCATCACCAGGTTTGGCAACTATTTTAATGTTGGGGTTCACTCTTCTAATGTCATATCAGAAACGGCAAGAACGTTTTTGGTTGCCTTGTACAAAACAACTTATCACCGCTGGTGCTTTAGTGGCTTATTGGAACCTTAAAGTATATTAACCGAGTTTCCAACTCTACATGAAGCTACGACACTAACTGCATCAGACAGAGCCCAACTAATTTTCAAAACTTGCCAACTGTACCTACATTTGGCCTTTCTGGTTTGTTCTGATCAGCAATTCTCTCTCTAGGTGAGCAGCGACAATGAGAACAGCCAGTCTTTTGGTATGAAGTATGCTGATGATGTTACTTCTCATTTTAACCTATGCTGCTTGACATAAAATCTACTTGCTATTTATGAAACCTCTAGGCTGAGCAAGTATGTGACAAAATGAGACATTAAAAAAAATAAATAAATAAAAATAAAGCTAACTGTTATTAAAATGTAAATAAAATGTCACTTATCTTCTTTCAAATATGTCCAACTATAATTAAGACACAATAACATGCCAAACAAATATTAATTCAGAAGTCAAACAACAAAAATCAGCGTTGTATTTTCAAAATTTTCACAGGACCAACCACTTCAAAATTTTGAAAATATAATGCTAATTTTTGTTGTTTGACTTCTGAATTAGTATGTCCAACTATTATAAGTGTAAAATATTTAATGCTACTTGGTAAATTTCGTAAAGTTTATTTTATTCTCAAACTTATTAATAATTATGTTAATCAAATTATGTTTAATAGTAATGCATCCTACTTGCGGATCTATTTATTTTAGGATGGCCTTACAAAAGTGAAGTTCAGGCATAGGTAATATTTTTAATTGAATTTATTCAGTTACCATTTGCTCATAGGTCCTTAATTTTTTAAGTCCTTAAAAGCACTTAATTTCCATGTGCAGAAATGTGTACAAACCCTTTACAGGAAGATGCAAGGCCTCTGGTGTTAGAGTGAGAAAATAAAGGTAATTTTTTATTGATACAGGCGTTTGTATTGATCTTCGCAATTTATATATATCTGTATGTGTCCTATAATTGAAAGTGGAGATTCATCATTTGCTGTATGATGTTTTGAGCTTGAATTGAGTCATTTACTAAGAGTTATAAAATTTTGTTTCTATTGTACAGTTATTTAATAACAATCCAAATATCCTGATGTGCCACCTTTTTACTTGTATTTTCATAATTAAAGTTATATATATATTTGTGGCATAAAACAAATATTAAATCTTTTTAATGAAATTGAAAATTATCTTAGGATTTCTTTTGCTGACACCCACCCACGAAAAAAAAGAAGCTGCAAATTTAGGTCATAAAGTGGGGTTGCCTCTTTTAATATTATATTAAATTAATGTCTGCTATAACTGTAATCTCATTATGTAGAAGGCTTATCATAAGCGTTTAATATTATTTTTCATTGTATTTAACTAAATGTTGAATGTTTTATTCCGTTTTCAAGGCAGTTGAATTCTAGACTTCCTGGATACATACTTGAAAGTGAATATGTCACAAACTTCTTTATGCCTTCCCTTCCCAATAGAGTGGGACTTTCAAGAAGTGCTAGAGGCTCAGATGGTGGTCAAGGTGAAATATCGCCAAGAAACCCACGTCTGCGTTCTCTTACTATATATAACTCACAAATATCAGACAGCTCTCCTGGACATCGAACTGAAAGTAGACCAAAAAGTTTGCATGGGTTTGCACCTAGAAAACATCCTGAAAATGGGTAATTGTATTTTAAACAAGTATGAGCTGTGATGAAAAATATTTGACTTTAAACTTTTGGGGGGGTTAAGAAATAACCTTAATTTTGGAATTAGTCCGACAGGCCTCCCATTATTCGAAATGTAGTTCAAAATAAAAGATGCTTTTTAACATTTTTCAGTGTGTGTTTTTAGGTAACAACTTTAATCTTCGAATAAGTCTAACAGTCCTCTCGTTATTGGAAGTGTAATTCAAAGTTTTAAAGGTGCTTTTTATAAAATTTTCAGTGTGTTTTATGTTTTTAAATTTTGAAGCTTTTCATTTGCATTTTTAGTTTGTGGTTCAGCCAGAAATCTGAAGAAGGTATGTCAGGAATAGGAAATCTGGGATTGTGATAAAATAAAATCTTGTCTCAGATAAGAGAGTTGATAGTTTTCCTCTGTTCCTTTTTTGTGTTGCACCATCACTTAAAGCAGTTGAAAATGTTTAGCTTTCATTATACCATGCATTCTGTAGATAGTATAGATCTGCTGGATAGCATTTTTTATTTGTCATTTATTCTTTTTAAGTTCTAGTAACTGGCTTGTTGGGGAACATGGAATCTGCCATACCTTTTTTTATCTTGATAATACAGATCTAGAACTTTTTGGTGTTTTAAGTGTGGAATCTGATTAGCACAATCTACTGCCATCAAAATAAAAACCTTAACTATCAGTCCTCTCATTATTGTAAATGTAATTCAAAATAAGTTTTAAAAGATTTTATTTTAACATTTTTCAGCGTGTTTTGTGTTTATAAATTTTGAAGCCTTTCATTTGCATTTTTAGTTTATGGCTCAGCCAGAAATCTGAAGAAGGTATGTCAGGAACAGGAAACTTAGTGGATATAAGTTTTCTCTTAGGTGGCATATATTTCTATCTGCAATTAAAATTACATCTATTACATTAACAATGCTTGTGCTAATTCATCTTTATTATTATCAGCTTCTTGCCTGTAAACCACACTTTGTTTAGCCATATTTGGTATTATTGAACTTGCTTTTAATTTGTGTAATTATAATTCTGGTGGATAAAATGCTTGTTTTATTTATTATCTTAGTGGTTTGCAGTTTCTTTGGAATAAATTTTTTGCAATAAAATTTTTGCTAAAATATGCCTTACTTTTATTGCTTGTAATTTCATGAAATGAACAGCTGTGAGCATGAGGTGTATAGCTACAAGAAAATAAATTAGCAGCCTTAACAAAATGCATATGTGTAAGTATAAGGTTTTGGATCATTCAAGGTCCCTTTTGGAAAGGAAAATGGGAAGTACTTTTACTGTCGTATTTTTATATTTTTCAAGTGTCTTAGAAATCTTTTAATTACATTTCTGCCTTTCATTTTATGTGTAATAATATTTAACCTGCCAGCACGCGCGTTTGGCAATTTTACGTGAGCATGCGCACGTCATATTTTTTACGACATCGGTTATTTTAACGTTTTGGGCACGAAAAACAACAGAAATGAGTGAATATTGATAATAAATTTTTTACGAAATATAATATCAATCTTATTATTACAAAATACAAGTGATATCACATTCAAATATAAGTAAAAGTTCTTATGTTAGGGAGATGGAAATGCAATGAAAACTGAATTTGTCGTAAATTTTGCACATACGCGTGTGCTGGGAGGTTAAGCTATTTAAAAAATAAATATTTTATATTTTCGTTATCTCGTGTATTTATTTATATATGCCGAGTTGAAATATGCATTTGATAACAAGAGTTTGGTTTTGTAATCATCCAGGCTTCATAGCAATAATTATGTGTAAATCCTTATAGAATACTTGAATATTTTTATGTATGTAGAAAATATTACATTTCAAAATACAAGTATAATCTATGAATAATAACAACTATAATCTATTCTATTAAAGAAAATTAATTCCCTTCTGCACTATAAAAATAGTGATCTCTATTTGCACTGCGTCATTTCGAGAAAAATCTGTCATATGACTCTTACATAATTTTGATGATGTAAATGAAACTAAAACTCGAACAGCCAATAGTGATTTTACAGCAATATTAACCATCCAATCAAAATGCGTTGAGAACCAAAACTAACTCAGTCTGAATTAAGATTTCACTCTGAACATAATGCACTTGCTATCACCGCTTTGGCTGAGCTGTATTACTGTGTCTGCTCCTTTTTTACTGCAAATCTATCAAAAATGTAAGCTCTTTGGAATAGGCACAGTAAATGTGCCAACTTGTTTGTGGCCACAATATGTTGACTGAAATAAAAGTTAAATTAAAATATACCTTGACTGCCAACGTGAATCGGCATTTCAGCATTTTACGGCCTAAAAATTCTAGCTGTTCATTGCAGTTACAACCACTTATGTTCTACCACCGAATCTATTACATATATATATGTGTAGTCTTTTAACTTTAGCTTAAGCATTAATTTGATGCAGTATTTGGATATCATGTTGTATAGTATTTGGATGTCATGTTATATAGTGACATGTATCATTATATGTTTTCCTGTAATAATTTATTTTCTTGAATTTCGGATTTGCAGTATGAACTTAATGTCACTTTGGATTTTAGAAGAGAAGAAAGCAGCAGCAGATATTTCTGATTTTGCATATGAAAGATAAATTTTTAGCAGAAACTTAATTTTACTAAAAGAAGTTTCCACTTTGTATTGCAGAAAATGAATGTGCATTTCATCTGACATAAGGATAAATAAAAATGGAGCATGTAATAGCAAATGTTAATTAGATGTTTTTAAAGAAATGTGGAATAGTTATTATTGTACAGCATTAGTATTTAATAGATTCAGTTGCAATTAACATTTCAGTTTTTATTATCAGTACAATTTTCTGCTTTTTATAGGCTATATAATCTGAATAAGTGAATGCCATTATTTCAATCAAAATAACACAAAACTGTCAAAATATAATTATGAAAGTAATTGATGTCTAAGTCTTAATAGGAGTTTCTTATTAGTATTTAAAAGGAACGGTAGCTTTTTTTTTTTTTTTTTTTTTTTTAAGTATGCTTTTCATTTGACCACACATTTAACTTAATTTTGTTTCTTACTATTGTCATGTTTATTGATTTTTTAAGGTGTGTAAATGGTATTTAGGAATTTTATGTGTAATAATCTTATATTAGTTATTATATGTAACATTTAAATGTTTTATTTAATTGCATAATTCCTTAAAATAGAAATGATAATTTTACTCTTTTTTTAATTAAATAGGGGCAGTATTTGCAGTAGAGCATCTCCATCTAATTCTCCATTACAGTCACCATTATCATCACCTTATGCTTCCCCTGCAAACTCCGAAACAAATTCTAGAGCAGCTTCGCCTTGGAATCACTCCACTGCACTGAATTTAGAACGTGGAGCTTGTAGTATTTCTGCCGATTCATCTGCTGGGGGAAAAGTTTTAGTGAAAGAGCAGACGCATGATCATTGGGATACATTAAGGAATTACAGAATTGAAGAGGTTCTTTCTCTCTTTCTTATATTTTTATATTTGGTTCCCTAATTTTGGATTCTTTGCTAGATGTATATTGGAAAAAAATTAATAATTGTTGATAAATACAATTGAAAAGTTATTATTTCTTCATGTGTTCATGTTTAGGTTAAAGGTTTTACATTTTCTTAAAGATATTGTGTTGAATTATTGAAATACTAGTAAAAAGTTTAATGTGTAAAAGTAGTATGCCATTGAACCATTATTTCAAAAACTCTGATGGAAAGAAAATTAGAATTAAGTAATATTTTTGAAGGAAGCTAATTATCATTGAAGTTATTAACTTGTTTAAACACATTAAAGACCAGATATTATTTCCCCACCCCTTCCCTATTTTACCCCAGTTATTTTCCTCTTGGGCTGCTCTCCCCGAGTCAACTATATTTGTTTACATCTCATCAGAGTTTTATAATACTTATTAACTTTTAGTGTTTGAATATAAAACATTATTTTGCATTATGAAACAATAATTTGCAATGCATGCGTAAAATTACTACTTTTTGTGAACTGTAATCTTGATATATAAACTATCTGCAAAAATAATCAACATGATCCATAGTAATATGCAAAAATGTAATACAGTTCATCAGACATAGAAAAATACTCTCTTATTCCTCAAACAGGTTCCTTTGTTACATATTTTACCATTGTTAGCATGCACTTAGCACTGCATTGAGACAAAGCAAAAATTATCTCTGAACTTTTTGGTTTGATTTATCAGGTAGACCTTATCTTTTATACTTATTTTTATATCATGTATTGTATTTAACATGGAGCCTGTATGTGAAAAATTTCCTAATACTTTTTTAAAGTATGGTATTGCATATATATCTCATTTCTCATTTTTTTCCTTGGGCAGCACAAACTATGCTCTGAAATAATTTTTTTTGTTTTTTATTATTTGAAATAAACACAGGTTTTTACCGCTGTTTCATGTCACATGATTAAAAAAGATACTGATATGTATGATCTACTCCTTTCATGTGACATTGAATTAATTTATATGTAAACGTTTTTAATTTGCTCTCCAGTTGTAATCGTGAAAAATTTCGGGTATCATATTTCAAAGAAAATGTAGATTTTGTTTGCTCTTGAATCCATTTGAATGATTTTTTTTTTTTTTTTTTTTTTTTTTTTTTTCATGACATCTGTACACTGGAATGAATGAAAGACTTGTTTCCCTAAAATGGATTCGTAAGATATTTTTTCGTGACATCTGTCTGTACGTACATAGCTCATGTAACTCAAAAACAAGTAGCTGTAGAATTGAAATTTTGTATATGGGACTGTTTTAACATGTAGTTGTGTGCCTTTATTTTTTGTTGTTATTGGTCACACCAAACTTTTATATATATATGTTGAATCTTGCAGCTATAGTGCAGGACTGGTTAAAAAATTTTTGTTTTTAATTTTTGGCCTATTACTGTGTTTATATCTATACATATACACGCAAAGGGTGCCCACAAAGTCCGGTACCACCCATTTAACTGCTGAACGGCTGCGGCTATATTCATAAAAGTGATGTCAAGGTATAGTAAAGTGGCTATGCTCTACTAAATAAAATAGTTTTCAGCGCCACCTAGTGGAAAACATCATCAGAGTTAGCGCCCCTATCTCGAAAACAATACGAGATAGAAAGAAAGAGTGAATTACAAAGTTGTAGAGCAATGTTGATTTAGTACGAAAAAGACACCTCGTGGATCTGAATGTTAAGAATAGAACGTTTTAAACGTGCATTTGTTTGTTTGAGATTTCCGAAACTGTGACGTCACAAAACGATCTTAGAAAAGAAAAGGGGAAAAGAAAAAAATTATCACAAACTGTCTTTATTTTCGATGTTTTAATCTTCTCTCCATCATCTGAAATGCACGTTTCGACCCTTGTTAGAACTTAATGTTGCTCGTTGTTGCATAGCAGGTGACATGTTTGCACAAGCATCTGTAATACTTTGCTGAAGGTCCTGGGATGTTTGTAGAGGGGGTAGCAGTATTTTTATTCTTATATGTTGATAAATTGTTCATTTTTTTTTTCTTTAAAAGTGGTTGACATATGTTGTTCTTATGACCAAGTTTATCTCTCTAGTTAATCTGCAAGCAGCAGTTATAGAATTATCAGCAATTTAACAGTTTAAGTGCTGCTAAACTTAGACTTCAATTTAAAATTCTTTTCAAATATATTTGGTCATGGATTGTCATTAACACATTGACAATCCATGGCACACTGATGGGAGTTTTTACCAGACTTCGATAAGGTTCCATCTGTTCCCCGGTCAGCAGCTTGAGAACGAACTTAGTAACAGCATGGCGCATGTTTGAATCACATGCGAGGATTGCCTGCTCTGTTCTGCATGACACATTGACAATCTCAGCAATGTTGTGGTTTGTTCTATGATCCTCGGGCACAAATTGCTGAATGGTTTCAACATTTTTGGTTGTTGTGCTTGTTAATGGTCATGCTGATCTCTCATCGCCTTCCAGTGATGTTTTTCCAGTCTGCAGCATTGCAGTGCACTTGCTGAATCATGTCAAATGTCTCTGTGGCAGATTTACCCATTTTATACAGATTTTCATGTTTACTTGTTCTAACTTGCTATCCATGTTAAAATGACAGATGTGGTAATAGCTGTAGTCAGAATAACACCAGCTGCACAGTTCCCGATGAACACAGGATGCTATCTCTTGGCACACTCTCTTATGAAGGTCAGTGTTGTCTGTGCCTGTATGTGTAACCCAGCGCTGCTAACTGTTGGCATGTTACAGAACAGGTCTTGAAATTTTTTTACTAATCAAAGCAGGTGGCGTCTAAAGACAGCATGTAGAAAACATGAGTTATCTCGTGAACCACCCAAACTGATGACACGAGTTAACTTGTAATCCATCTGCAATCGTTTAAAATTCCTTACAAAATTTTGATTACAAAAAATTATAATGTTGTAAAAATTATTCACAAAGCTTAATGAAGAACTATTCTTTAATATCAATGAATCAAGTTATATCTTCAACCCGCTCTGGCAGGTGCAGTGTGTAGTCAGTAACGACAAGTTCATGAATATCTTAAATTGTATATAAATTTGTTTAAGCTGGAAGCTGTTAGACTATATTTATCAATAAAAATTTTAAACAGGATTTTTTTTTTTTTTTTTTCCCCTATAGATAAAGAACTGGCTTATCATAGTTTTGAATTGGATTTTATAATGGAAAGGAGATTGAAATTTTAAAAAAGTCATCTAAAATTTGAATCCTGTAAAAATTATACAGTTATATATTGGGAATAAAGAAAGCTTTCTATAACAGGTTTTTCATAACTATCATTACTGGCTTAATATCCTTATTGAATTAATGTTTATTGTTAAGCCTGATTAACAGACAGATGGGGCTTCTCTGTTTATTTATGTTATCATCTGAATTATTAAAATCTTCAAGGAAATCATTATTTTATATATCCATTATTCTCGTAATTTGCAATTTTACTATCCCATACAATATTCAAAGCATCTAACCCCCACAGATTATAAGGGATTGCTGTTGCTGTGTATGTAATCAAGCCAATTTGAAGTTAAGCGAGAGCACATGTGATCTTTACACAGACAAATTACTAATATATCTTTTTGTGAAGATATTATTATACACTGCTGGCCACCCAAATTGCAACACCAAGAAAGACAAGAGATATCACAACAAAATCTGTTTAGTAGATAACATGTTGACCAAGTATCAAATGATTAAATTTATAGATTTCTGTAAAGTGCGGTTCCTTCCAGAATCAGTAGCCAGAGTAGCCGCCCATTGTTGGAGACCACCGCTGCCATACGCCTCGGTATTGATTCAAAGAGACTTTGGATGTGTTCTTGGAGTACAGCAGACCAAGCAGCTTCCACACGTTGCACAAGTTGATCTGGTGTGGCAGCTTGGGATGTAATCTGGGTCAATTGTTCAGAAACCACAGACACGTTTTCTATCGACGAAAGATCCGGAGAGCAAGCCGGCCAGGGAAGCAATTCAATCTGGCGGTTGACGAAGAACCCTTGGACAATGTGTACCATGTGTGGTTGCACATTATCCTGTTAAAATATGGCTGTGGGCAAGCCCTGAAGGTAAGGAAGGACAACTGGCTCTAACACCTCGGAGATGTAGCGCTGGCCGTTTAAAGTACCGGCAATGCATATTACAGGAGTGCGAGAGTGATATCCAATACCACCCCATACCATAATACCCAGTGCAGGACCAGTGTGGCGATGCATAACGCAGCTGTTCACCATCCTCTCTCCACGGTGTCTCCAGACTCGAATCCAACCATCGTGGTGTTGCAGACAGAAGCAGGACTCATCAGTAAAGACAATTTCATTCCATTCTGCCGTCCACATCCTTCTTTCATTGCACCATTGGCGGCGGAGACGTCTGTGGTTCTGCGTCAAGGGAGACGAAGCAATGGACTTCTTACGGACTGACCACTTTGCTGTAAACGGCATCGAATGGTACATGCAGACACTGGATAATGCGTTACAGACTGAATGTGCTGTGCTATGGTTCATGATGTGACTGAACGATCCGTCACTGCCATGCGCATGATGTTCCTATTATCACATGAAGTGGTGCACTGAAGTGGATGCGATCGAACGCGTCGGTCTGTTGTACCCTCCTGCATCCAATCCGGTCACATATCTGCATTACAGTTGTTTGGCTTCATCCAACACGACTACCGATTTCCCTGAAAGATAATCACTCTCGGTAGGCCTCTTCTCCCATGTCGAACTCAGGTACTTGATCAAACGATGATCGCTGCTTACTACAAGGCATAATTGATCTTCTTCTTCTTCTTTTTTTTTTTTTTTAAAAAAAAAAAAAGCACAAGGAAAACACAATTGCCGAACTTGAAATCGTTGAAAACTCCAAGCCTTAAATAGCACTTTAAAGTGGCACCACAGGCGCGCGCGATGTGCATCTTCACTGAAATTCTAATCATTTGCATATCTCACTTCTGCTAATGCATGTTGTAAATTTCATGTTATTTGCATGCTTCCTTCAGGGTGTTGCATTTACGGTGGCCAGCAGTGTATATAAGTTAAAATTTTATGAGTTTAGACTTCTCTTAAACTTTTTATTGAAGTTGAGGGGACTGTTAAAATAGACTAATTTACTGTATGCTTGTTTTTCAGAATGAAGTTGCGTAAGTACTAGCTTTTAAAGTCGTCCACACTTCCATGCAAAATTCTTTTTTTTTTTTTTTTTTTTTTTTTTTTTCCCAACTTAATTGTTAGAATTTTCAACTATTTAAAATTAAGATAAAGATCTGCATACTGTCAATTTGACAGTTTCTTCATTTTCAAATGTGTAAGTTTGCATAGAAAAAAATTAATTCTCCTTTTGATTCTAAATAGGATTTAAAGTGACTCGAATGTAGCAGTTAATTTAAATATTTTATGCAATGCCTCTTTTTTTTAATGTTGTTATATTATTACATATAGTTTACATTTTTCTTTATATTCAGTTACAAGCTATGCCTATTGAAGAACTGGAATCTTTAGGAATTTTAAAAGATGCTGGTTCTAAATTAAGGAAAGCTATGGATATGAAAAGGTAATATTTAACTCTATTATATTATAACACTAATCTTTCAAGAAGATTATTAAATATATTTTTGTTTAATTGTCTTCTAGAAAGAGCAGAAAATATGTTATTTTTTATAGCCCTTCAAATGGTATAATTGGTTGTTACCTTCCCAAAAGTGCTTTGAAAAACAGTCTTCTCAACCAACCTGCAAGTAATGATAGTTCCCCAGTGTGTTCAGAATATTCAAGTCCACCTCAAAGCCCATCTCCAGCTGAAGCATGTAATCAAAGTAGTTCTCTCAGTTCCAGTAATGAAGAAAATCTTGATAAAAGTAAACTAATTTTTTCTGTTGAATATTCATAATTAATTATTACTATTAAATATAATATTTGTTAGATGCAAGTAATTAATGCAATATTGAATTTCATTTTAACATATATATTTATATTGGTGATTTAAATTCAGTTGTAAAGCAATTTTATTATCATAAACATAATTGTTTGTTAATTAACATGTTTTAATGTATTATCAAGCTATATTGACTTCCACAAGTACAATAATACAAATCTGAAGAAGAGATTAGAAGAAAGTATCGGCAGATATTCTCACTATTAAAATTACTAAAAATCTGAGATTAGACACTTTTGCTTCCCCCCCCCCCCAAGAAGAGGCTGTTCTAAATGTGCTCAATATTTAAAATTTGAAAAAAAAAAGTGAACTAAATCTGGAAATTCAGAGATGGAGATCAAGAAATTGATTACATAAAGCTGAACAAATTTTTCTTCAAAATGGTATAATATATTGTAGATAGTAATGAAAATTAAGTCGATTTTAGTAGGAACTTTGTCATTTATCAAAGTAAATGAATATAAAAAAGTAGTTAAAGGGAAAGAGGTGGATGTAAATAAATTAGATGCTAAAATAGTTCCAAAAAATTCAGATTAAAAGCATAAAGTTTGTTGTATTTATGAATGTTTTGTTATTTTGGGTACTCTTCTATTATCATGACCAGATTCAGAAATGTATGTATGTATTGCATGTGTGTACATACATATATGGATATATATATATGTATATATACACACACATACATATATACAAGTACATATATACAATTATACATGAACACGTACATAATCCGGTCCCAGTATCAGAAGAGAACTGTAGTTTGTAATGTATGCTTGTTTTAATATCTTTTTTAAACTAATGTAATAATAATGTATTAATTTGTTATTTAAAGCTGCAAAATTTTCTTACATTATGATTTGAATAATGCTTCTTTAACAAATGTTCTTAAAAATGAAAGAATTTTTAAATGTTTTAAATTTTAAATTTTGACCTTGTAAATATTTTTTAAATATGTGTAACTGTTGTAAAGTGTAAAATATTAATGTTTCAAGAAGTTAGTTTTCTAATTTAATTACTTGATAAATTTTAGGGTATTATTTTTTAATGAATTTTCAGATATGTAAATATTACATTGTGTTTAATAATAATGCATCCTTTCTGTTTTATTCTGAGAATAGTAGAGAGGAGTTAGTTGTGCAAATAATTGCTTTAATTTATTAAATTCCCATTTGATGATAGGTCTTTAATTATTTTCTTTAATGTTCTTTTATAACACTAATTTTCAACTAAGGAATGTGTGAACCCTGTATTTAACCAGATGGAGCAGAAGTGGTTATTACAGACATAACTATAAATCCTGAGTAGTAAATCCAATTGTAAAATGACATTAACAAAATCACAGGTTTTATCAAAATAATTGTCTGCTTATCAATAATAGATGTCAGTCTTACAAACAGTTAGTGAAGTGTGTTTGTAAGCTTAGTGAGTGTCAGAAGCTTGAAGGACAATGAAATGAGATTTCCTTCTCTTATTTATAACTACTAATTTGTGTTCAGAATGCAAATATTATTTCATTAATGATATTCTTTCATTTGCTAGCAAGCATGGATGAATCAAATATATTCCTGGTAAAACTTTTGACATCGTACATTATATATCCAAACTGTTCCAAAGGGCATAACATAAAAATAAAAACATTTGTTTTGTATAGAAGTAATACTGGGAAAATGATCACTTTGTGAAATTCAGAGTTGATTAAAGATACTTTTGCTGAAGCAGGGAATGCTCAACCAAGGGGAGTTTTATAGTTTCAGCAGCATTCTTCCCCTTTATTTCCCTGTTAAGTGTTTAGTGTATTATTACTTTCTTCTACTTCCACTTCAGGCACTTGAGAATCAAAAGCTTCCTTCCTGTCTTTTATTTCTTCATGTTTTCATTCTTTTTCTTTAATTCTGTTAGATGTTTCATCCTTCATTTCTTGATCTTCCTCAGACAGTTCATTAGCTACTTCCTTCATTTCTTCATTTTTTGATTCTTCAGACGCCACTTCTGTCATTTTCATATCGTCTTTTATGGCTCCAGTTTCTTTTGTAAGCTCCACTTTCAACTGTTGGAGTTGCTCTCTCACCTTTTCTCGGCCAGCTCTCATCTCTTCTCATCCAGCTGTCATCTGTTCATATCCAGCTTTTATCTCATCATATACTGCTTTTATCTCAGCACATCCGGCTTTTAACTCTTTCATTTCAGCTTTGATCTCAGCTTTTATTTCGGCGTTCATCTCTTCTCGTCCAGCTGTCATCTCTTCATATCCAGCTTTTATCTCAGGACATCCGGCTTTTAACTCTTTCATCTCTTTCTGTCCTGCTTTCATCTCTTTCAGTTCGGCTTTGAACTCAGCTAAAAAGTCCATCAAAGTCTTCGTTTTCTCCGCCATGGCTTTCCTCTGGCATACACTCGCAAATCCCACTTCTGACACCAGTTGTTATGTTACATTATTTTCTTCGTTCACGTTCGTGTGGATTTGGAGTGAGTAACGACTACAGCACTTGATGGAATATCGAAACACACTTTATTTACCAATATTAATCAGGACAGCTCCAAAATCATGTCGTCATTTACAGTCGTCGAATAACTACTATAAACACGCTGACACAATCAGCAACACAGCCTTCAGACCATCAGGCTGTAATGGTCGAGACAGCCTCACTGCAAAGCACTGAATACAGCTCCCGACTTTGCTCGTCCTCGGAACTCCACGTATTCTCGAGACTCTCCATGCTGCAACTCGCAGTGCACTCAATGACACACAGAGCACAGCTCCCGACTGTTCGGTTCAGTCATTCCCGGAGCTCAACACACTCTCTTGACGATGCACTAACCACAATACACTAAGAAACTCCTTCGGTGCACTCGCTGCCCAGCTGTCAACTCGAGACACACTGATTCGCACTCCGACTCTCCCCATACCAGCAGGGTTTATATAGTTTTTGGCTTGTGCTCTAGAACATTCTGGGCTAAACCGGTAAGAATTCGTTCTAGAAGGTTCTCCGTGCGTCCATGACATATCGCCGATTTTGTCGCCAAATGGGCGATATCTCATCAAATATGGCAACCCTAAAACTGCTTTGTGGAGAAGCTATCTTACCGCACCTGGACATTTTGTAACAATATTATTATTCACTGAAGAAGGATTATGTGCTAGATAAATATTTATTATCTTCTATATTTTTAAACTATATAATTATATATTTATATTTTCAGGAAAAGTATAAATAACCTTTCTTTCATTAGCAATTGCGTTTCTGAATGTGGCTCCAAATACTCTCTCAGGTCATCGCAAATTAAAATAACTATAAATTTTGGCAATCTGAAAAATGCAATGAAAACATCTTCTGGCAGAGCAAAAGCATCATCATATTTTCTGTAATTCACTGCCAATTCAGAGATCTACGACCATATTCTTTGTTTAAATATGAAAAAATTAGCAGCGAAAACACATACAAAGCCATTGTCTACTTAGAACATCACAAGCCTGATTGACGACGCGGTAATACTTTTCCTTGTGCTTTCAACAACTTCTGTACTCACAGAATATAAGATGTCGGACAGACCTGTTTTTCACTAGCAACAACATCTAACAGCCCACAAATTATTGCCGACTCTCGGAGCGTAGAATAGTCGTCTAGGTGCAGACCAACTCCCTTTTTGGACTGTATTGTTGAAGTAAATCCACTTTTCATCACAAATAATGATCTGGTCCAGAGTTAAGTCCTTGCATTGATATTCAAGCAGATTAGTGCAGGCCCGAACATGTCTGTCATCTGTTTGAGTCATCAGCTTACGCAGTACCCAGCGACTGAACTTGTACATCAAGTTTATGCGATACATAGCATGACTAATGGACGTGGCACTAACATCTAACTCCTTAGCAAGCTCTCAAATGGTTCCAAACTGTTCTTCCACAAGCTCTCGCTGGCGGGTGCCTCATCAGCATAAGTAGGCCAGAGCACATTGCTTTTTGAATGTCATAGTCTTTGTTTTTAAACTTCTGGTACCAAACCTTCACAGTGTCATATGATACAACATTAGTACCTAAAGCTTTACGTATGATTTGGTGACATTCTGTAGTGGACCTTTTGCAACAGAACTGAAAGTAAATAATGCAACGCAATGTTCTAAAGCAGCAGTTCTCAACCTTTTGACTAACGCATACCATCTAAACAAAAACTGAAAACCTTTAGTACCACCACCACCACCACCACTGTTGAACAAAGCTCAGATCGCATAAATTTACAAGTGGTAGAGAAAAAAACTCTATTTTGGGATTTTAATTTTTGAATTTAATAGTTAAGAATACTTTACTTCTTTGCGTACCACTGGTTGAGAACCCCTGTTCTAAAGCTGTTTTTTTTCCCCCAAATGCCAAAATTTGTTATATGATTAAACACACCAACGCAAACTATTTGTTCTGGCGATATTTGCAGCGGCAGGAAACGTTCGTTAAAACCTGATATTTTTGTAGTAATATTTTTTAAGTCATACAAATTTCAGTATGTAGTTTTGCCATTGGCTTCTATGAAATGGCCATTTTTTTATGTTTTTGGAGGAAAATATTGTTTCAGATTTGTTTGCAATTCTGTCAGATATCCCTTGATAACAACTGGAATTTTATCAGCCGTTAAACTAGTATTATATTCCTGCACTTCATTTAGCATCGTAATAGTGTAATTTCTTGCTTCTATGTGAAAGGTTTAGAAATTGAGCTTTTTCGTTACTGTTTCCATTTTCTTGCACTTTAAGTGTACTTGCCATGTAACAAAAGATTTGAGTTATCTAAAGAATATCACAAAGCCATCCTTATCAACTAACATCACTAAAACTGTTTTCCATTATTGCATCTTTAGCCATTGAGAGATGCGAGTTTAAAAACATTAAAACTTTTGTCATTTTTTAAAGTTTCTTCAAGACTTTCCTTCTGGATAA